ATTAAAAAAAAAAAAAAACACAAAACACCTAAACGAGAAAACTCTTACAACCTTCCAATACACAGTATTTAGAAGCTCCTGTTCTCACCTGCATTTGTTCGAGAGGAATCTCAAAGCTGAACGACTCGTTGTAATAAGGATTCAATGTATTCTTCTTAACTGTCGTCTTCTTCTTCTTCAGCCTCTTCCCATTCTGTAGCAGGTTAATCTTCACATAGGGATCTGAAAGACGGATAACCCAATGAGCAGGACAAGAAGGTTTGCCTGCTTGGGCTGCAATGTAGTCATGTATCAACAGATGGAGCCACAGTTGATTTTGGGGGGAGTGCAAGGTGCTGCATGGTACTAGGTACTGCTGAGTCTGCATGTGACGCACTCCTCTATAAAGTAATTGAAAGCCTGTTCACCTGTGGGATTCTTTTTTTTTTTGTCAAGTTGAACAAAACATCCCAACTTCATTGGAATTGGCTTTGAAGGCAAATAATGAAGTGGAGAGAGCCAAGAGGAAAAAAAACAAATAAGCCTCTCCCAGATATTTTTCACTTTAATGTTACATTATTGAATTTAAACATCATTCATTCATATTTTTTCTTCGAGCATTTAGGCATATTTGTGTCAAATGTAATCTCTGACACTTCAAAAGTATTTTGGAGCAAATTGTCGCAGGGCAGTTCCTAACTTGAAGGTCCACTGTATTCTCAGGGTGTAGGGATAGTCACACTAGATATGTGCAGCTGTCAATAAAGGTGCCCGAGTTCTTATAGGATGTAGTGTGGCAGGGGCGACTCATGCTTGACAAACCTGAAAGACCCCCCACGTCCATTTTCTTCAGGTTCTTGGCCTCCAGAATGCAGATTGTGAGCTTACCAGCAGTGGGTACATAACGAAGAGAGATGCAAATGTCACCCAGCTTCTCTGGCTGTTTTAAGAATAAAAGGTGAGGGAATGTTAAAATACAGCGGTCATGATCTTGAGAAACAGCGGGACGCATCATTAGCGCCAGCAAAATCCTCCATACTACGCTTGATTACAGCGCTCTTGAGAGACTGTGGGTATAAATCAACGCCCAATTTTGTCATACACTTTTTAAAGCAGAACAGCCGGCTTGGCCACGAAGCAAGACAATGATTTTCTGAACTTTAGAGGGATGTCTGGAGGAGTTTTGCTTCCAATCAATTCAAAACATTTGTAAGGTTATTGAAAGGAAGTGTGGGCTCACATTGTCATTGTAGTTCATCTTGAATGTGTTTGATGTTATTCCACATCAAAGTCATCCAGACCGTTAACGGTCCTTGTTTTGTGAAGTTTGTTTACACATAGGTGGAAGCATAAAATTCCAAAGAATCCCCAATGGATTGATGAATTACAATGAATAGGTGCATCCAAAGAGTTTTCTCTAACATAGTGCCTGAATGTAGAGCAAACTGAAGTGATGTCGTGGGCTTCCTAAATCCAGCACAGGGAATTGGGGTGGGGGGGGGGGACCATAATATACATTGACACGTGGGATCATGTGGACCTGATCGGAAACATGTGGGTTATTCCAGGGCACCGTGGGGAGCAGGCTGGGAGTTTACTTCTTGGCAGCCAGGGCAGCCAGAGCGCCATCCACCTCCTCCTCTGGCTGCAGTGGATGCCACTGGGCAATGGGGCGTCGGGGGTTGGCCAACATGTCGGACCAGTGTTTCAGCCCGGCCCCAGTAGACTTGCTACCCACCCAGATCTTCCCGATGGCATCGTTCTTACCAATCTTGTCATAATCCAGCACTGTGATCACAGCTTGAATTTTCTGGGAATAAAAAAAATATATATATACAAGAGAATATGTCTCAATCAAGTAAAAAAAAAAAAAAAAACACAAAACACCTAAACGAGAAAACTCTTACAACCTTCCAATACACAGTATTTAGAAGCTCCTGTTCTCACCTGCATTTGTTCGAGAGGAATCTCAAAGCTGAACGACTCGTTGTAATAAGGATTCAATGTATTCTTCTTAACTGTCGTCTTCTTCTTCTTCAGCCTCTTCCCATTCTGTAGCAGGTTAATCTTCACATAGGGATCTGAAAGACGGATAACCCAATGAGCAGGACAAGAAGGTTTGCCTGCTTGGGCTGCAATGTAGTCATGTATCAACAGATGGAGCCACAGTTGATTTTGGGGGGAGTGCAAGGTGCTGCATGGTACTAGGTACTGCTGAGTCTGCATGTGACGCACTCCTCTATAAAGTAATTGAAAGCCTGTTCACCTGTGGGATTCTTTTTTTTTTTGTCAAGTTGAACAAAACATCCCAACTTCATTGGAATTGGCTTTGAAGGCAAATAATGAAGTGGAGAGAGCCAAGAGGAAAAAAAACAAATAAGCCTCTCCCAGATATTTTTCACTTTAATGTTACATTATTGAATTTAAACATCATTCATTCATATTTTTTCTTCGAGCATTTAGGCATATTTGTGTCAAATGTAATCTCTGACACTTCAAAAGTATTTTGGAGCAAATTGTCGCAGGGCAGTTCCTAACTTGAAGGTCCACTGTATTCTCAGGGTGTAGGGATAGTCACACTAGATATGTGCAGCTGTCAATAAAGGTGCCCGAGTTCTTATAGGATGTAGTGTGGCAGGGGCGACTCATGCTTGACAAACCTGAAAGACCCCCCACGTCCATTTTCTTCAGGTTCTTGGCCTCCAGAATGCAGATTGTGAGCTTACCAGCAGTGGGTACATAACGAAGAGAGATGCAAATGTCACCCAGCTTCTCTGGCTGTTTTAAGAATAAAAGGTGAGGGAATGTTAAAATACAGCGGTCATGATCTTGAGAAACAGCGGGACGCATCATTAGCGCCAGCAAAATCCTCCATACTACGCTTGATTACAGCGCTCTTGAGAGACTGTGGGTATAAATCAACGCCCAATTTTGTCATACACTTTTTAAAGCAGAACAGCCGGCTTGGCCACGAAGCAAGACAATGATTTTCTGAACTTTAGAGGGATGTCTGGAGGAGTTTTGCTTCCAATCAATTCAAAACATTTGTAAGGTTATTGAAAGGAAGTGTGGGCTCACATTGTCATTGTAGTTCATCTTGAATGTGTTTGATGTTATTCCACATCAAAGTCATCCAGACCGTTAACGGTCCTTGTTTTGTGAAGTTTGTTTACACATAGGTGGAAGCATAAAATTCCAAAGAATCCCCAATGGATTGATGAATTACAATGAATAGGTGCATCCAAAGAGTTTTCTCTAACATAGTGCCTGAATGTAGAGCAAACTGAAGTGATGTCGTGGGCTTCCTAAATCCAGCAAAATTCCATCAGAAGAAACTATGGAAACAGGCAGTAGCTTTTAAGAGGAATAAAGCTGCAGGATAGCACTTTGCTTCTCGACTCTCTTACCTCTTCTTGGTCCGCGCTGTCTAAATCTCGCCACTCCTCGATTGGCTTTGCCAAGTCAAGGGTGTTCATGGGTATTTTAATCTCGCCAATGACGTCATGTTTTGAGAAGCGATCAAAGTCATAGACAGACATGACCAGAGTTTTTCCTCCCATCTCTTGGAATGGAATCTGGAAAACACAAGCCAATCCGAAATTAGGGCATGAAAAGCAAAATCCAGATTATCTGCAAAGCAAAACGACATTAGCTGTGACTTGAGTCAGGATCTTACGAATGGTTGGCTTAACACACAGCTTCAGTCGACTTGGCCTGCCTTTGACAAGCTGTTTGAAGTGTTTGTGTGTTAAATTCACCGAGCTTTGTCAGCCGGCACCAAGGGTGGCCCTCTCCTTTCATTTAATTCTCGCCCACATTCTCCTTGTCGGCCACCTTCAAAATGTCTGCAACCTTTTATTGCCAGTGGATGAAAGTATTAGCGCTAAGCAGGTGCTAAATTCCCAGAGGACAGGGAAGCAATCCAAAGCCAGATCATGACTGGTCAACCAGACACGAACATATTCTTTGAAATAGTAATGAGTACAAAGAGAACGACAAGGCCTACCTTAAAGATAAAAGTCTCATTGAAGACTGGGTTGAGGGTTTTCTTGTGAACCTTTGTGTCAAACTTCTTTTTCTTGTCAGGTAGGACAAAGACTTTGACATAGGGGTCAGAGGTTCCACCGCTGTCCATGGAGAGGAGATCGGCAGCTTGCAAGATTCCCACAGTCAGCTAGAAGATGAAACGCGTATGAGAAAGAGTCAGAAGAGACGACTCCGCGCATCTTAGTGTATCGGACCAAATGATCCTTCCATTGGCCTGCGATTTGATCAGGCCAAGTGCTGCATAAATACTAAGAATGTGATGAACTCGTATTATTTTGTTACGATAACATTGGACTACAGTCCACGGAAAGTAAATATTGAAAACTGATTCTGAACTTTGAATTCTGCAAACTTAAACATGGCTTTCCAAACCAATACCTTTCTTTTAGCTTTGACACTGAAAATTGGTGGAGGACTGGAGGAATAGGACTTCCAATCATTTCAATCCACAAGATTCTTCCTTTGTTCCAGTCTCTATACGAGTGTGAAGGGACCTATGTCCTTGCCTTGTTCTCCTGGAAGTCATAATCAATGGAGTACTGCAGCTTCCCAAGCTTCTCCTTCTCCTTCACCTCCTCTTCTTTCTCATCTCCAGTCAGTCCAGGTTCAACATCGTCTTCCTCGTCGTCATCGTCCTGTTGTTTCTGCAAGACAGAGGGGCAGGAGGCAGTAGAGGAAATAGTGAGCGGATGCTCCAAAGTCTGAGGTTGTGCTGATCAACAACCCTCGGCCATCAGCAGTCGGGTTAGTCACAGCACCTACCTGTCACTTACCCCTGCACACACAGGTGTTACTAGTGCAATCTGTTCATCGATGACCACGGTTGCAACCTGACTTGATTTCACTATTTCTTGGGTGACACCATTTGCTGTCAGTTAGTTTGTTTGTATTCGATGTCTAGTATTTTAAAAATGAGGTGATGAAGTTGTCCTGACCTAGAAAACAGTACTGTATTGACTGAGTTCATAATATAGGGGGCCTGAGGGGGGGATGGTTGGGACAACTATACACGCACTGAGGTGTGAATCCACTCTAATTAAAATAAATAAATAAAATTAAGAGTTGTCAGTTGTTGCTATGTTGACAAACAATCTCCCGTACTGAAAATGACTGTTAGAACTTTCACATGAAAATGGTCTGACCAAGCAAGCATAAAAATAACAAGTCTGTCAAATGTGACGTGAAAAACAACACCGTGTTCCTGTTTCTTGACATTTCAAATAATATGTATGATTTTGTCCAAGCTCAGAGGCACTGAGGGACACAGCAATGAGGAAAAGCCCAACATTTGACCCAGTGATTTCTGGCTTGAGTTCTGAGAGTGAAGGCTGTTTGACAAAATAGGGTGACCTTAAAGCAAGCCATCATTCCTGGTGTCGGTTTAGCTTCGGACATCCTCGCTTATTCCCTTGTTTACGCGGCTACTGTCTATGACTCTCATTGTAACCAACTGTTCCGGGTATTGGGTCTTTATTTTGAACATGATGGATGGCATAAGCAATATGACTGTCTCCGAAGAGTTCAAGCATGAGTAGCGAGACAGAATTGATCAAAGGGACAATAATGTTCACTCAGTCTGTGGGGTTTGGGAAATAAAAACTACTTCCACCTGCTGGTTGGGAGCAGGTGGTTTCTGGGAAATGATATGCTAGTTTATCATGTGGCTCCGGGTTTGTCAAAGTCCAATAAAAAAGACTTCCAGTCACACTTCTTATTCTTGGAGCTTGAGAGGTTTGCTCTTTATTCGCCCTTTCGATTTGGATTTAAGTAGAGTATTGCTGGCTTCCCTATGGCTGTCATCTTGAGAAAACACAGATGTCTTCGTAAAAACCGGACGGTCCAGCTACTTTCTGGTCCGCTGAAAGAGGTGAGCTGGAACAGGGCGCATACACAGATAAAACACACAATCTCACTCCACTCATTTTTCTCCCAACACACGCAAACACTCGGCTGTCTTGCATGCGGTCTAGCGTGCATGCTTGATAACTCACGCCCTCTTGTAAACTCACACGATTGTACCTCTTTGTGGCATTCCCTATTTTTGTAGTGGGCAATGCGTTTCATTCAAACATGCCAGGCCACAAAATGCAGGGTACGTTTCTTTCTCTCAATGAATCACCTTGTAGCTTGAGCATGGACAGTTTGAAAAGGGCACATTTTTGTCAGGGCCAAAAATGTCGGAACTCATGATACTGCCTTGAGAATTGCCAGGTTTCCCCGAAAACTCCTGGGGAGGGCTCTGGGGTAAGGACATGGTATGTCTGGATGCGTGCCGTTTGCTCAACATGGGATGACTATCAAGAAGAGCTTTCACGTGGAGAAACGGTGCGGTGACCAGCCTTATCCTTGGAATGGACTGAAACCAGGATTTTCATAACGGCAGATGTGGGGCAAACATTCAGGCACACCATCTCTTTCTCATCGGTCACCTTGTGTGTCAGCAGCATGGGTCATCCAGGAAAGTTACTCTCAAGTCAAGTTGTGGCCATTCAATGTTACCTACTGCAAGGGTGTACGCTGGTCTTTGTCAAGAGATACAAAACAAAACAAGTCTTATCCGTCGTGGAACTCGGAGCATGTTTGCACACGTGGGGCGCCAGTGAGTCAATTTCAGACCTCAAGAGCAATTAGTTGTGAATCACTGATAACCTCGTTGATTTGTGTGGCACTACAACGGCCCATGATGGTGGAAACAAGCCCAAAGTTCACCGGTGGGTTGCGTTTGTATGACATTATCCAGCTTAGCCCTTGCACATGCATGTTAGTGATCTCTAGTGAATTGCCGAGTGCACTCGTCATTCAAAAGGCTCAATCAGAGGGGGGGGGGGGTTTCATATTCACTTCAAACCATCTGCATTAAAACGGGTCTCTGTGGCGTTTCACATTTGTGAAGAGAACCATCTCTGTATCAAGACATAGCAAATTGGTGCGGCATGTCAGTTCAGTGGATTTTGCGAAGCAGCTTATTTGCTCCCAAAGATTCCTCAAGCACCAGCAGCACCTAAGCTTGCAAAGAACTAAGAAAGCCATCGCACTCATTGACATCATCACTGCAATCCATCCCTTCAAGCCCAGCCCGCCCCCACAGCTCCCCCCCTCCGCACTGGTCTGCGCTTACTCAGAGCGGCCAGAGAGGGGCGCCGCGTGCTATCAGACCTACCGTAGGCAGAGAAGTCCACCACAGTCAAGATACACGGAGCACATATAAGACACAAAGCAGGAAGGAGGAGAGCAGAGACAAAGGAAGAGATTGAACTCACAGCAGACACCAAAGAAGGGTAATCATAGCAAATGCAGTCAGCTAAACTGTCGGGAGCGAGGAAAATGACAGAGAGGCCAACCTCCTCATTAGCACAATCATATCTTGTGCGGCAGATCCATTGTGCCTTAAAATAACTTGACTTTTAGATGTATTGTTACGCATCTGAATGAGTCGTCCAATCATCGCTAAAGCATGTAAAAAAAAATCATGATTATCAGACCCAGAACAATTGTTCTAACTACTATTTTTATAATCACTCTTGAAAGGTTATGAAAACAGTGTTGGGGCTGAGTTGAATAGATAGGACATGTCATTTTCCACTCAAATCCCAAAGCTCAAGTGAGAGTGAGTGAGTGAGTGAGTGAGTGTGTGTGTGTGTGCGTGTGTGTGTGTGTGTGTGTTGGTGTGTGTGTGTGTGTCTGTGTGTGTGTGTGAGAGGGAGAGAGAGAGAGAGAGAGAGAGAGAGAGAGAGAGAGAGAGAGAGAGAGCGAGAGAGCAACAATAACAGTTACAGTTTGACAAATACATCACATAACAGAAGAGAGGAAAAAAAAATAAACCAGATAATAATGCTTGGTTAGAGTGTTATTTTCATCTGTGGAGAATAGACTGACCTGGTTACAAAGCCACTGAATAGAGTCTTTGCTCATCATCTGCAGTCTACTGTTGTTCAAAAAGCAGTAATAAACGTGGCCAGTGGTCAAAAAGCCATTCGGTCGTTCCTTCTCTCAGTAGTTACTGCATAGTGTTTGTAAAGTGGTAAGAAACATGACCTCTTAGTTTCTCTTGAGTCAAAGCTATGGCTGCCTGCACCCAGGGATGGGAATCAAGAAAAACATTCAACAATACCACTGATGACTTCACCTTTCTTGATTTCCAACCGGTCACAAACCTTTTTTGAAAACGAGAGCTACTTCACAGGTCTCGATTAATGGGATGGGCTACTGGTTCTGATACACACTTCTGAAATTGCAATGTTGCTCAAATGACCTGTGATTGTGTGCTTCGTCATAATTATAGCAATTTCATTCATCTTTGTGAAATACACTGCTCGTGTTAATTTCTCACAATAATTATCAACAATGATTTAACAAGGTAGGAAACAGTTAATGACGAAATGCAACACTTTATTTCTGTAAATATCTACGAGTGTTTACATTTTGAAACGATCACTTCTACAACATTCCGAGGAAATCGAAATGTCCTGTCATGCGTGAGCTATTTTCATAACAGGCCTGCGAGCTATTGGTGTGTTCCTTGGGGGCTACCTGGTGCCTGCGGGCATCATGTTGGTGAACCTTCTGTTCGACCTATTTGCCTGCACTTGCGGAGAAAAAACAAGAGGGCTATTTTCAGAGTTTTCAACTGAAAATAGTCACAACTGAGTAATTTTAGCAATTTCAAATCTATCTTTTCATCTATCCATCTGTCTGGGTGTCGTGCTATAAAAATTGACATTGCTACTCAACTATGTGGCATGCTTATCACGAGCTGATTGTATAAACGTTGGTTTCATTTCACATGTAGAAGATGACTTTTGAAGACGAGTTTCTATCATTTGAAACTTACAGGCAGGTTTGGAATCTACCATCGGTAAACTACGCTTCAGAGAATAATACAGTATCTTTGATTAGAAGAGTGGAGTCAATGAATAGAAAATGCAGGTTATCGATCAAATTGAATGAAATTGTTTTTGAAAAGCCCTGAAAAGAAGACCAATTCCTAATCGTTAGCCTTCATCAACCAAGGTGGAAAAGGCTGACAAAATGACATGCTTTGGAGGAGTAGCGACTCAGCGGCTGATTGGAAAAACGAAAACAATTGGCGTCAAAATGGATTTGTGTCCCTGTATGATTCTATTTCCCAAATACAAAGCCATATTATTCACCGTGTACTAGTCACAATCAAAGGCTTTAAAATGGGAAAGTACCCCAAACTCCCCCACAGTGTCACATACCTCTCCGCCTTTGAGGTTCTTCATCCCCATGTCACCCTTCCCCTTCTTGCCCTTCTTGTTCTTCTTCTTCTTGCAACAACATTTTTTGACGATGCAGAAGCAGCACGTTAGAATAAGTAAAGCGGCGACCACAGCAATGGCAATGATGGCCCAGGATGGCACTGAGGATGGAAAACAAATCCAGGTATAGGTGAAACATTTGTAGCCTGAGAGGAAAGAAACAAATAGTTTGACATTTGACCGACCACTCGTTTAGCCTGGCCCATGTCATGCTCCGGGCCAAATATATTTAGTCGGAGGTGGCACGCCTGCGATTAGATTGAGGGAAAATTAGATTTCTCTGCCATTAGGGGGGGCAGCCACTGATCAATACCGAATAAAGTCGTTATGAGGCAGCCGATGCCTGCAGCAAAAGCAGAAAATCCAATTCCAAAACGGCTGCTTCGTCATCACAAGTTGATTGGAAGTTGGTTCAGTACTCACGTGGGATCTTATCGATTTCATTCAGAAACTTGTTTTTGATCTCGTCAAAGGCATCGTTCTTGCTGACTGGCTCGGTGGAGTTGTCTGCAGAGACGAGTGCGACAGGGGCAGGAGTCACAGTCAAGGCACTGGCCCCTGTTGGCTTGGCAGCGACCATGGGCGTTGTCTGGTGCTTGAACAAGTTCCACTTAGTCATTTAGGCTGCACACAGTCCCTGAAATGACATCAGGAAAACAATCATTTCCCCTGTTGTCTGTCATGCTTTGGTGGTGTTAAGCAAATGACAACTGAATCACCGCTCATGCGTAAACAATGGCGCTAAGCGCTAAGCTAGTCAGCGAATTACCTCTGTTTTTAAGGCAGGGGTGCCCAATACATCGATCGCAATGACCGGGAGCCAGTGGACTGGTCCCAAGTCGACCGCGAGGGGTGGGAGGAGGAAATGGGAGAAAAAAAAGATTTGTGTGTTTCGGTTTCGTTCATGTTTGGGCCGTTTGCTCATCATGGCGTGCATGCATATGTGCGTGCATATGTGCGCAAGTGCATGGTTGGGCCCCTGCGCGCGTGCGTGTGTATATGCTTGCACGCGTGCGATCGGGTCGATCGTGGAGGTTGGTCGCTTCAAAAGTCAATCTTCGGGCAAAAAGGTTTGCCCTATGTGGCAAGCTGACCCGAGTAGTAAGTAACCGCTGCAGCTCGCATGCAGACAGTGCCTGCTTCGAATGGCAACAACGGAATGCAAAACAGATTTGTAGAGGATTCTTCAAGAGAACGACTGCCAGAAGTCCCTGCGCTAAGGTGCTATATTTTTGTTTGTGGGCTTGGTTGAACCGAGAGTTTGTGTGTGTGAGATACTGCACACAATATTCATTGTTGAAAATGACTGGCTCTTAGTCTCTGACTGGTTGGCCACCCCTGATTTATATTCACCAACGTGGCTTAGTAGTAAATTACACTTTACGGTAGTCAAGAGAGAGAGAGAGAGAGAGAGAGAGAGAGAGAGAGAGAGACAGAGAGAGAGAGAAAGCACAGGAACAAAACAATTATTCCTTACTGCATGTGTAATATGACCGTTTGTGAAACCTGACTGCAAGACTCCATCAGAGAACAATTACTCACGTTTTCAATTTTGTTCAAAGAGTCTTACGCACATCAGTACAGTGCAGAAGCCTACAATGTCTTGGTTCTCGATACTATAGGCAGCTGTTTACATCTTAATCACGTGTTATGTTTCAAAAGGGAAAATCGGTCTCAATGTCATACGTATATACCAAGACAGAAGTGAGAGTGTGATTTAAGCCAGTGATTGGCTGGCAACCTGTTCAGGGTGTACCTTGCCTACTGTCCAAAAACAGCTGGGAGAGGCTCCAGCATGTCCGCAACACCTTGTGAGGATAAGCGGATCAGAAAATGGATGGACAGATGTATATAACTGGAGACTTCTTTTCTGCAATCGGTGTGTGTGTGTGTGTGTGTGTGTGTGTGTGTGTGTGTGTGTGTGTGTGTGTGTGTGTGGGTGTGTGTGTGTGGGTGTGTGTGTGTGTGAGTGTGCATGTGTGTGCATCAGTTTAATGATTCGCTATTGTAGCATCAGTGTTAGTCATTTAGGAGAAAATAGCTTTTGGATAGCTGTCCATTGTTGTCAGGTTTAACATATTTGAAATTCATTTAACTGTATTTGAATATGTTAAAATATGTGAACACACTAAATAAACAACATGAAGTTCACCGTTTTGTTTCAAAAAACAAAATAAAACAATTTCATCAGCTAATAGTCAGTCCTTGGTTGTTCCAGCCTGAGGAGTAATAAAAAGCCTTCCTGATGGAGCTTGCCTTAATTAATGTGTAAAAGGGTTGAGGTCATTGCTGGAATATTAATGAACATAATGATAAATTGAGAAGATTTACAAATGCATGATGAAGCCATTCCTATTCCCTGAACCCTTTGGCCCCGATCCATTCCATCTATTTTTAAGAAACAGAAGCGTCATATTCTGTACAGTGATTGACGATGGCAGCCTGCGCTACGGTCTGACACTGCACTGGTTCCAACATATTTCACAAGGCAGTGAGGTCAGTGGGCGGTGATTTGAGTTCACTTGGCAACAATATTGAAGAGAAATAACCATCAATGCTCGGTTATACCTCACTTTTGCTTTGTTTGCTTGTCACCTAACGTTCGCGCCAATTGTGCCTGACCATGAAATGTGTTAGGAGGAACAAAAGAAACGTCCGCACACCATTCTGCCGTTGCGTTTTCACGCGCCAAACACATGCTCAATCAGAGCTCTTTTCGGTTCCAGAAATCACCGTGTGCCAAGCGCAGGGCGGAAGCGACAGACTGATGACTGATTGGGCAAGAGCAGAGAAGGATGACAGGAGTAACAAGAGTAAATTCTTGTTGGTTTTATTAGCGTCATGGTGGTATGGTTGAAAAAGCAGGATTTTTCCATTTCTTAAGTGCCAATAGTGGAATTCCAGCCGCCGTTTATTGCTGCATATGAATTATTCAGATTGAGACATTATTCAGACAATGAGCAGAATGAGCTCGCGCCACTCACAGTCAACTCAATACTGGATATGTCTTGTACATGTAAAACTCCTTGTGCTGCTGACATACTCCCCGAAGGTGAACTGAAATAAATACATTGATTAAATTGTGTTTGTTCTGCATTCATGACAATGTATCTGGTCGTTCCGAATCCAGGCAAAATGACTGCAGACCAATTGTATTAACGTTTACGGATATGTGCTCAACCATTTATCTGCCCTGCTCGGAGAGCGACAGCAAGGACGTACAGAGAGGACACAGGCTTAGTTTTTATGACTGGCATAAGAGACAGCTTCTAGCAACCAGTCTGGCGCAAAATCAACAATTCATCTGCTTTTTCTTGAGCAGGAGCGGTCACATTCAATGAGCCAATTCCCGAGTTAAAAGCGGTTCTTGACGTCAAGTTTTAATGTTAGCATGTTAACGTTGGCCTGAACGTAAAGTACAGCCGAGGTTCGCCAAATAGTTTGCTCCACCACTGTTCCACCACTTCAATCATGAACCCAAAAATAATAAAAAAGAAGCATAACAATCAGTATATATTGATGACAAGTTGGTAGAAGAGAAAACAAGTTTTTTTTTTAACAATCCATCCATTTAAATGTGACATTTTATGAAAACGGAAACTGGTAACCTAATGATGATGCTGGAGAAAATGTCAGAGGATCTCCAGAGTGATTATGATGGATCCTTTGGGCTCCTTGAACATTTGTATAAAATCTCATAGCAATCCATCAAGGTGTTGTTGAGACACTCCAGTCTGGTGAAAAAGCAGGCAGCTATTTAGAGACAGTGCTTTGAGCTAAATCATATTTGAATAGCTGAAAAAAAAAAAAAAAAAAAAAGAACAGACAGAGAAGGATTAACAAATTTGTGAGTTAGACAGTCGGGAAAATGGGTTTTAACCTTGGAGCAGGGAATTCAATCAATCCTTATCTCGGCCTTCTATGACACAGAACTTCAACATATCTTTTCACAAACTGAATCACTTTGAAAACTCATTCAGTTAGATACAATTACTTGTAATCATGCGTATCATGTAAAACATGGCATCTGGGATCTTTCAGAATTTTTAACTTCATCGTGCTTTGTCAATAGTGTCTTTGTGATTCAAATGGTTGTTACCATGGTGATGGTAAATTTGAATTTTACCATGGCTAGAAAGTAAAGCACTCCTAACTCTGGTGTAGAATTTGAATCGAGTAATGGCGTAACAACAGTTTTAATACAGCAGTCTTGTTAACATATCCTAACCCCTTCAGCTCAACTCAACTCAACTGTATTTTTAGAGCACTTTAAAACAAGCACCGCTGTATACAAAGTGCTGTACATGGAGCAAAAATAATCACACAACAACAAACAATGAAACACTAAATTTATAATGAAGACTGTAAAAAACACAAAATCAGTCAAACCAAAAATCAAGTCTCATGCTGAGTCGAAAGCCAAAGAATAAAAATGAGTTTTAAGACAAGTTTTCAAGATGGACAGCGAGAGGGCTTGCCTAACATTCAGCGGTAGGTCATTCCAAAAGGAGGTAACAGCAATGGAAAAGGCTCTATCTCCTCTGAGCCTCCGCTTAGAGGAGATAGAGGTTACCTCTCATAGTGTCTGGTCCCCAGACCTGAGGCACCGGGCAGATGTGTAGGGGCGGAGGAGCTCAGAGAGGTAAGGTGGGGCGAGGCCATATGAAAATTTGAAAACAAATAATAGGATCTTAAAAAGAACTCTAGAATGTATAGGGAGCCAAGGAAGGGATGCCAGAGTAGGAGTTATGTACTCCCTCTTACCAGTACCAATCAAGAGGCGAGCAGCAGCATTCTGGACCAGCTGGAGATGCTTGATGGAGGATTTGCTGACTCCAGAGTAAAGTACATTCCAGTAATCCAGCCGAGATGTGACAAAGGCATAACTTACAGTTTCAAAGTGTTCTTGAGAAAGGAGAGGCTTTACTTTAGCAAGCTGCTTAAGATGAAAGAAGCTGGATTTAACAACAGCATCAATTTGCCGGTCCAATTTCAAATCACTGTCCAGTTCGAGACTGTTCGCTTAAGATAAGGAGCCAGGGGGCCCAAGTCCGCAGGATGCGATATATAAGGACCACTGGTAGTGCACATGATGGCAAAAAATTGCCCACAGCTACCAACTGAAACCTTGTCATTCTTTTCATTTGTAATATATTTAAAGATAAAGAGGAACCATGTATTTCACCAACCTTTTCGGTTCATTCTTTGTCATTACAAAGCACATTTATGTGGTACCTACTATATTACTTAAACCACCAATAACAATATGACCTCATACCCGGCACCTTCTCCTACAGTGCACCAAGCCTGAAGCAACAAGCACGCACAACAACCATTTCCTCATTCAATGAAAAGAAGAGGAAAAAAACGGAACTGCATTTGCATCATAAATCGATGTCAGGAGGCCTGTTTGATTGCACAGCCTTTCCTGACAATGTGTTATGATACCGTTCAACAAGTTCAACTGAGGAGACAGCAGTCAAGTCTGACATCAGACAGCATGACTGCTTGCAACATAACAAGCGTTAAGTTAGTCAATAAAGTTTTTATAATGGCAGATTATTGGTATTCTGTGTGGAAAACGTTTGCCCTTTGAGACTCCATTTTATATTGGTAGTCTCAATTGCAATTACAACA